TTTTTTTTTTTTTTTTTTTTTTTTTCTTTACGTCATTCGGTTTAATTCGGTTCGCTAGAAATATTATATAATATTATTATTATGTGTACCGATGTGCCGAATTGTCATGTTTTTGTGTTTATTAATATATGCACGGCCCCTAAGAGTGTTGGCATAAAAAAAAATTTCTTTAATTAAATATTTTACTTTTAAAATAATAAATAATTTTGAGGTTTGGTTCTTCTCTCACTCAGTGTCTTTATCTTTCACGCGTGCCCATTGTTATAGACAATGACATTTACACCGCCAAGACTCCAAACCTGCATTGGATTGCAGCCGATCCATTTAGCACCGGCCCACACCAGTGAGCACCTTCATCACTTCGTCCTACTTTGTCTACTTCAGACAGTTGATTGACTGCGCTTTGACGAAATCAAAATGTGGGCCGTGCGGTAAGAACAATTAAGTGGCCCGGTAATCCACATGGGAACAGTTGCAAGCAGGGGGCCATAAACACGTTGGACAAATCTTTCTTATCAGAAGCTCTTCAGCGTTGTGTCCCGTCTGCGGGTGAATTATTGCTGTTTCAGGAGACATACATTATTTTTTTTTAACGGCCTGAGTATTAACAGTAGACTATTATTGGATTACGTTACATTTCAGAAAGAACACAGTTTGTTTGTTTGTTGGTTGGTTTACCAGGGGCGTACCGAGAAAAAGTTGCGTCGGGCACGAGCCCTGGAAAAAGAATGCCTCCACCCCACGTTTTATCAATGCATCATATAATACTGATATAGGTATCTATGGCTACTTAAGTGCTGGGTGGCCGAGCGGTCTAAGCTGAGTCAATCCGAAGATGGGGCTCAAACCCCCCAGCAGATGCCTAGATACCACCAGCACTCGTTAACCCTTGGACGGCAATTAGTTTAAGAGCGGGGAAGAACTCTAAATTCAAACCCGGGTGTGAAGTCACCTCAGGCCAGCGGATCTCAAACTGTGGGTCGCGACCCCTTTGGGGGTCAAGCAACCCTTTCCCAGGGGTCGCCTAAGACCCTCAGAATTTATATATACTCTACAGCTATGAAGAAGAATCGAAAATAATTGTGTAGTTGGGGGTCGCCACAACATGAGGAACAGTAAGTGAGTGTCGCGGCATTAAGAAGGTTGAGAACCACTGCCATAGGCGGTAGGACATTTTCACAATTTCCGACACCACCTGCAGAGCTTCTGGTGACAAGCTGTAGTGTCCACCCTTTATGTTACCTTGGGTTTTGCCAGGGCGCGGAGAGAGTTGACTTGCTGTCAAGGGAACAAGCTTATCCTCCTAAAGGAAAAAAAAAAATCGCTTCTTTGTGATTTCGTCCTGCGTGATCTGTACCTTCGTCACACTGTGAATGTATTTTATATGGATAATTTACTATTTTGGCGTACCCCCTTATGCTGTCATCCAGGGTGACCGCACTTTTAGCCCTCAACCCCTTCATACGTGCCTAAATTGTGGAGCACATATTTTTACGGTATATTTTTCGATGAGTAAAAGTGCTGACATAGATCTATGAACATCACTCTAAAAAAAAAAAAACATGTCACCTCACATGACGTCTTCTTTTTTTTTTTTTTAAGTTTTTTTCTAATTTCATTCTCTACGATAAAAAACTAACTGAAATAATAGTACCACCAAGGCTGCGCCAACTGTCTCTGATAAGGTTTTGCCAGAAACAGATTGCAATTTGAGATTACGTGTTTGGATTCAGATGTAATGACAGGAAATCGAAGTCTCTGTCTTTTTTAACAGTACGCATTAAAACTATTTAGCTCGGAGGCTATAATTTACTAAAAATCCCCATGTTAACTTAACAGAAACGATTGAAAAATTCTAAAAATTCAGTATGTGTCATTTGATTTTTTTTTTTTTTTTTTTTTGTTTGTTTTTCTTTTTTTCACGAGAGAGGGCCATCAATTAAAGTTAAGCGATAGGGCACCTTGTTCTGTAGAGGACTGGGTTTCTAAAAATTCAGTATGTGTTATTTGATTTTTTTTTTTTTTTGCTTGTTTTTCTTTTTTTCACGAGAGAGGGCCATCAATTAAAGTTAAGCGATAGGGCACCTTGTTCTGTAGAGGACTGGGGTTGGGGTGTACAATTCTTTTATGTTTAACATATGACTTGATTTTCAAAGTAGTTCAAACTAAACATATGAGGCTTTGTAGACTAGGACAATTTTATCACATTAATAAACCATAGTCAGTGCAATCCCCGACTGGAAGTAATCCGTGAATAGTGTGGTATACATCTAACTCGCTCTAGCCCACCAAGTGTGGGGGTGGTGATGCGTGAAAGTTACGTTACAAGACATGCATTCAAGTAACGCGCTTAATGAAAATCCATGACAGTGCTTATTTTATCCAGCCATCTCCCTTCACACCCCCCCCCAAGGTATTTTACCTCACACTTCTTGCACGCCCCTGAACTAAATTAATATTCTAATTTCCCACCCTCTTTTACACCGCAGATTTATACACCGTATTTAAATTGGGACTTTTTCCAAGAAATAGAATAAAATATTAAGCACCAAAACGACCTGTGGAATTTTTATCAATCTCATTAGCGAAACTATTAGGATTTTTATTTTGCACATTACTGAACTCACCATTGCACCACACTATTCGTCATAGCGAGAGAGTTTTAAGCATTGATGATGGGAGATAAAATACTGGGCAAAGCTGTTGTTTTTTTCCTGTCAAAAGAACATGTGAGTGAAGCTTACAGCCGTCATCTTTTATAATCGATGAAGAACCGTTACATATAATGACATGGCTCTTAACTTTATTGATAAACTCGATTTCTTAAGTGCAGGTCAGCCATTCTATAGATGACTGTTTGGGTTGTGCAAATTTTAAAAAAATGACTACTTAAAGAAACTTTTGAAATAAATCTAACCCCCACCCCCCGGCAAAAAAAGCATATGGTAAGGGGAGTAGCCTCACTTTTTAAAACATGACAAGGGACAAAACTCGTTTTAAAACAATAGAAGATACATAATTTTTAAAAAGCCATTCTAACTCTCAAAATTATGTTCTCCTTTAAATTAATCAGCAGCTGCTGAAAGTACGCAACAACGTCTACTTAAAAAAAAATAAGTTAAATGTGTTGTAAGGATTACTTCTAATTAAGGTGATTCCATAAGATATACTGAAGGATGCCAGAACTTTCCTCTGTGGCGATAAAGGTTTAATTAAAACCAATTATTGGTCCACATCGACTGAGCTCAAGCAGGCAAGATTTCACCATCATCTTCCTGTGTGGTATTAGAAGTTTACAGGGTTGCATGTTTCTCCGGTGCTTATTGCATTGCTGTTAATTACTGTCAAGATCGGTAGATTGTGGTGGTTTCGACTTCCTCTCGGTGGCATTCCATTTCAAAGCACAACACAACACAATATTTTTTCTTTCAGTTGCTGCTCGTGTCGACAATGCTACGTGCAACAGACGGTTGGGCACCACGGTCCACCGAGTCTTACTTCCCTGCAACAACGGATATCATGACCCCGCCTGTGACAGTGAACAACGATCCCCACGGCCTGTGCGGTGGCTGCCCCAGTCACGAGATCTGCGTGGAGGTCTACCCCACCTGCATCACGGGCTACTCTTGTGACCCGGCCAACATCTGCGTGCCGGATTATTGGGGCTGAAGCCTTACTTGACGTGCACCCGTTCATGAACTATTTACAAGTACAATGATTCTGAGATCATGCTGACAACTTTCTAAATTACCTTAACTGATGATGTCGTTTCGAAAAATCAAACTGCTGACATCTTCCCCCCCCCCCCCCCCC